AAACATGGGATTAAGAAGCAGTCTCGGGCTTCCCTGGTGGCGCAGTGGTTGAGAGTCCGCCTGCCGATGCAGGGGACACGGGTTCGTGCCCTGGTCCAGGAAGATCCCACATGCCGCGGAGCAGCTGGGCCCGTGAACCATGGCCGCTAAGCCTGCGCGTCCGGAGCCTGTGCTCTGCAGCGGAGAGGCCACAGCAGTGAGAGGCCCGCGTACAGCAAAAAAAAAAAAAGAAGCAGTCTCAATTCCTAAGTGAATCATTTCTGTAATGTTTAAAATTTGTAGAGTGCTTACTGATTTAGAAATGAGAACAAAGATGTAAAATGTTAAAAGAAAAAAGCTACCAAAAAAACTGAGTTTCCCTTCATTTCTGAAATAACCTGTCTCTTAAGATGCAAAGCTGCTTCCTGAAAGTGGGATGAAGAAGAGAACAGGAAACGCGATGCCTGGTGCACTGGCACGTACTGGTCTGGGCTGGAAATCCTCCTCCAAGAGCCCCCACTTGTCCCTGTGGTACTGATAATACACCAGGTTCTGCTGCATGACCTTATCGTCCTGGTCAAAGAGCAGGTAGCTGACTGCACAGGGGGCTGCGTTCTTCAAGTCATTCACTGAAGGCAAAGGAAACAAAAACAGGAAATCAGCCAACCTCTCCCCACCCACCCTCCATTGAATAACACCTTCAAAAAGAGAAAGATCACCAACAAGCCCCTTCTCCACAGATCCTCCTTCGGAATACCTGCAAAGACAAAAGAAATCTTCCCAGGGTGAAAAGGTCACAGATAGGGTATCCATGGGAACGTGGAGGCCAGTTTGGAAAACAGAAAAAGTTCCTCTTTAGGCAAAGACCTATGCAGAAATACCTACTATATTCCCCTCAGGCCTTGGAGACCTGGGCTGGTGTCACAGCCCTGGAACCTAAGCAGGCTTGGGTCCCAAGGCTGGACTGTCCTGAAGCTGAGGGAGCTGGTGAGGACATGCCAGCAAATGAGCCCTCCTTGGACCTGCAGTACCTGGTCCCCTCTGCATGGGAACCATAATCTCCAGATCCAGGCAGGCCCTTCAAATGCTAAACCAAGCCTAGTTCACCCAAAAAAGGGTCCACCCTCTGGGCTGGAAGAGTTTTGAAAAGTCACCTGGTCTCCACATCTCCTGGTGGGGAGGTTCCCACCTCCATCCTCCTTCCTTAGAATCGCCCCACCCAGGGATGACAGCGCCCTCAGTGCAGCGGTTTTGCTGGGGCTGCGATTTCTCCGTGGGGTGAAGGGTAAGGGGGAAGAAGGAACGAGACACAAGCCCTTGGGCCTTTCTTCTGGCTCACTCCGCTCTCCTTGACAACCCAGGAACACAACTTTCCTAAGGCTCTGACTGCCCGAGTATCCAAGTTGGGCATGAAGAAATGCTGCCGCCTTGTGGCAGTTTCCCATAACAACAACTTTAAAACCGCTGTTTATGGGCACTTCCGAGTCACAAGGCCTGTGGGGTTGGAAATGACACCCGTCCTCAAGAAATGTCCTGGGGTGATTGAAAAAGATTTCAAAACAAGGCCGACTTTCAAGAAACCAATTTCAAGAAGTAAATTTCACTCACACTGTTTTTAAAAATAAAAAAGAAGCACTGGAAAAGATGCTCCACATCGCTGGGACTTCCCTGTTGGTCCAGTGGTTAAGAATCCACCTTCCAGGACTTCCCTGGTGGCGCAGTGGTTAAGAATCTGCCTGCCAATGCAGGGGACACGGGTTCGAGCCCTGGTCTGGGAAGATCCCACATGCTGCAGAGCAACTAAGCCCATGTGCCACAACTACCGAGCCTGCACTCTACAGCCCCCGCGCCACAACTGCTGGAGCCCGCGCGCCTAGAGCCCGTGCTCTGCAACAAGAGAAGCCACTGCAATGAGAAGCCCGCACACCACAACGAAGAGTAGCTCCCGCTCGCCACAAGTAGAGAAAGCCCATGCGCAGCAACAAAGACCCAACGCAGACAAAAATTTAAAATAAATAAATTTATTTAAAAAAAAAGAATCTGCCTTCCAATTAAGGGGACGCAGGTTCAATCCCCGGTCGGGGAACTAAGATCCCACATGCCGCGGGGCAACTAAGCCCCTGAGCCACAACTACAGAGCCCACACACTCTGGAGCCCACACTGCCACAACTAGGGAGAAGCCCACACACCGCAACAAAGAGCCCGCATGCTGCAACTAAGATCCAACACAGCCAAAAATAAAATAAATAAATAAATATTTTTTAAAAAGATGCTCCACATCATTATTATTAGAGAAATGCAAATCAGAACTACAACGAGGTATCACCTCGCACCATTCAGAATGGCTATCATCGAAACATCTACAAACAATAAATGTGGAGACGGCGTGGAGAAAAGGGAACCCTCCTATGCTGTTGGTGGGAATATAAATTGGGAACAGCCACTACAGTGAACAGTGTGGAGGTTCCTTAAAAAACTAAAAACAGAGCTAGCATATGATCCGGCCATCCCACTCCTGGGTGTATATCTGGAGAAAACCAGAATTCGAAAAGACCCAGGAACCCCAACGTTCACTGCACCACTATTTACAACAGCCAAGACATGGAAGCCACCACAATGTCCATCAACAGACAAACGGAAAAGGAAGATGTGGTACGTTTATACAATGGAATATTACTCAGCCATAAAAAAGAATGAAATGATGCCGTTGGCAGCAACGTGGATGGACCTAGAGATGATCATACCAAGTGAAGTAAGTCAGACTGAAAAAGACAAATATCATATGATATCACTTACAGTTGGAATCTAAAAATTGATACAAATGAACTAATTTATAAAACAGAAAGACACTCACAGACTTAGAAAACAAACTTATGATTCCCAAAGGGGAAATTAGGGGGGGTAGAGATGAATTAGAAAGTTGTGATTAACAGATACACCCTCATATATATAAAATAGATAATCAAGAAGGACCTACTGTGTAGCACAGGGAACTCTAGTTAACACTCTGTAATAACCTATATGGGAAAAAGATCCAAAAAAGAATAGCTCTATATGTCTGTATAACTGAATCAAGCTGCTGTACACCTAAAACAAACACAACATTGTAAATCAACTATAGTCCATATAAAAGAAAAATTCAATTAAAAAAAAGTAGTACCTGCCGTATTTCCCTCAGGGCTTGGTAACTGGGGCTGGGGTCACATCCCTGAAGCCCAAGGAGGCTTGGGTCCCAAGGCTGCACTCTCGTGGGGCTGAGGGAGCTGGGGAGGATATGCCATCAAACGAGCCCCCCTTGGACTTGTAGTGCCAGGTCCCCTCTGGATGAGACTGCCATCTCCAGATCCAGGTGGGTCCTTCCAAAGCTAAGCCAAGCCTAGTGCACCCAAGAAAGGGTGGACCTCTGGCCTGGAGAAGCTCTGAAAAGTCACCTGGTCTCCACGTCTCCTGGTGGTGGGGTTCCCACCTCCATCCTCCTTCCTTAGAATCGCCCCACCCAGGGACAACAGCGCCCTCAGTGCAGCGGTTTTGCTGGGGCTGCGATTTCTCTGTGGGGTGAAGGGTAAGGGGGAAGAAGGAATGAGACACAAGCCCTTGGGCCTTTCTTCTGGCACATTACGCCCTCCTTGACAACCCAGGAACATGATTTTCCTAAGGTTCCGGTTACCCAAGTATCCAAGTTGGGCATGAAGAAATGCTGCCGCCTTGTGGCCGTTTCCCATAACAACAACTTTAAATCACTGCTGATGGGCACGTCTAGTCACAAGGCCTGTGGGGTTGGAAATGACACCTGTCCTCAAGAAACGTCCTGGGGTAGGTGATTGAAAAAGAATTCAAAACAGGGCCAAGAGGATTCAAGAGGCCAATTTCAAGACGTAAATTTTACTCACACTATTTACCTGTAATCCAGAAAGCAAAGATTTCTTGGGGAGCAGCAAGAAAAGCTGAAAGTTTTGGTGTTTTATCCATTATGTCTTTGCCACATTTTCTGATATTCTGGTTGGTTTTTAGAGTTAGTCAGGATTTCAGAGGATTGACCAGTGAGCTTCCAGGGCCTGGAAGTGTCCAGAACACCTCTAAACTCCAGTGTCCTTGCGTGTTCCCACTGAACCAAGCCTACTTCGTGGCTGGAAGATCCATGTTTCAATGTCCATTCACGGGGTAGTTTAGTGAAGTGTCAGCACAGCTTCTCATGAAAATGAAAGAAAAACACGGGCTATATTTTCTTCCAACAGAACATCTGTAAACTGAATCCAAGATCAGCAATGTGTTGATAAAAGTTGAAACTGGGTGATGGGCACCCTAGAGATCATTATACCAACCTCTCCAACATATGTTGTTGTTTTTATTAATTACCTTGGTTTTTCTTTTTTCTTTTTTTTTTTTTTTTGGCTGTGTTGGATCTTCGCTGCTGCACACACGCTTTTTCTACTTGCGGTCAACCGGGGGCTACTTTTCATTGAGGTGCGCAGGCTTATCATTGCAGTGGCTTCTCTTGTTGCAGAGCACGGGCTCTAGGCACGTGGCCTTCAGTAGTTGTGGCACGCAGGTTCTATAGTCGTGGCTCGTGGGCTCTAGAGCGCAGGCTCAGTAGTTGTGGTGCCCAGGCTTAGTTGCTCTGGGGATCTTCCCGGACCAGGGCTTGAACCCATGTCCCCTGCATTGGCAGGCAGATTCTTAACCACGGCGCCACCAGGGAAGCCCCCAATATATGTTTTTAAATTTCCAGAAGTTAAATAAAACATGTACATAATTTTTTCATAATTCTCATTAAAACAGGGTCCTTCCAAGTGTGGCTGAATATAAGCCAACAGTTAACACTGGGGTTGGGGGAGAGCAGGGAGGGTGATGGAGATGGGTTGTTTGCTTTTTTATTTTATTTTTTTTTGCGGTACGCGGGCCTCTCACCACCGCGGCCTCTCCCGCCGCGGAGTACAGGCTGCAGACGCGCAGGCCCAGCGGCCACGGCCCACAGGCCCAGCCACTCCGCGGCACGCGGGATCCTCCCGGACGGGGCACGAACCCGCGTCCCCTGCATCGGCAAGCAGACTCGCAACCACTGCGCCACCAGGGAAGCCCGGGTTGTTTGCTTTTGATGTTTCTCTGTACATCTCTGAGATGTTTGGTTCACTGCAATAAGCTTCTCTTATAAGCCTCTTTGAAAAAAAGCACTTACATTAAATCAGCTATTTATATTAGAAAAGAGGGCTCCTCATAAGCAAAGACACTGCCTAGTGGAAAACTGTCCCCTCCACACCAGAATGTGGTCAATAAATATTTGCTGGCATCATGCTGTGAGCTCAGTGCTGCCTCATAGGAAAGCATGTTCACACATTATATAGAACTAGACTCTTGTCCTCTATGTTAAATAATCCTTTACCAGACAGCTCACGCTGGGGTGACAGTAGCAAATAAAATCTCATCCTTCCCTCCATGAAAGGGGACTTCTGGGAAGGACACCTGTTAAAAATACACCTCAACCTCCTCTTGATCTCAGAAATGTCCCAACCAAGGGACATTTCAGTACATTTCATTGCATCCTTAGATGAGGTTCAGGCCGCTCTAAGATCAGGTTCACTGCTGAGAGAGGCCAGTTACCTTCCTCAGAAAAACATGGTATAAATGTCAGTATCAGAGAATATTCAGGAACAAAGAAGCCATCTTGATTAACGGCAAAAGTTTAAATATTTTTAATTTAAAAACTAAAAAGAGAGAGAGAGGGAGAGAAGGAAAATATTTTTCTTTTCTTTTTTTCCCTTTTTTAACCTTCAGCAGGCAAGGCTTTCAGTGTGTCCTGGAGAGATGAGATGGGATTAAAAGGTAGGCGGGTTAGGTGGCTGCTGAAGCAGAGGGAACCCAACAAAGAACAGGATGGACACAGCGGGGAAGGGGGGCTGTGGAAGACAAGGTCACCTGGCACTCCTCCAGGACATCCCTGAGTCCCCAAGACCAGCCGCCCCTGAGTTTGAAGGGCAGCCTTGGGGAAGCTAGCCAGACACCTGCCAGCAGACCCAGACATTTCATCAGGAGGGTAGAGTTGTCGCTGCTGCAAATGACCCTAGTAACTTCCCGTGCTTGTCACCGAACTGCCAAGGTATACGCTGCTCACGCGAGTGGCACCCAGCAATCTTGGCTACAGAGAGAGGGGGGAAAGCCAGGAAATTCAGGCTCTGAAGTCTGAACTCCAAGTTCCTTTCTTTCTCCCATGTGTCCCCTTTGTCCACTTGGAAGGTTCTGATTGATAAGCTCCAATTTCAGGCCAAGGCAGGACCAACTGCAATGACATTCTAAGAGTCTGAAAAGTAAAGCCAATGATGTGGAAGAAGGGAAATAATGATATTTTTTAAAAAAAGAAAAGAAAAAAGGGACTTGCCTGGCGGTCCATTGGTTAGTACTCTGCGCCTCCACTGCAAGGGGGCATGGGTTTGATCCCTGGTCGGGGAACTAAGATCACGCATGCCACGCAGAACGGCCGAAACAACAACAACCACCACCAAAAGAACGGTTATATAGAGTTTGCCATGTGCCAGTGTGTGAATTTCCTAAGCATTCCACGTCTATCAACTCACTTAATCCTCACAACCATCTTAGGAGGTTAGTACTCTCTGCAGATGTGGAAGCTAAGTCTTAGCACCTTGCTCAGATCTCCTAGAAGATGATTACTTACATTTATAATAAGCAAACTGCAAATAATGATACATGGTAGCCACAAATTTCTCGACTGGATATCCTCCTATGACTGGGGTGAGGTTCTCTTCACACTGTATTTTGCATTCCAGAACTTCCACATAATGATCTGAAAGAACACACAAATTTTCAGGCAGTGTATCCATTATTTCCTTAATGCCGCTTCTGCCCCACTGCCCCAAAAGATCAAGGTAAAAATGATAAATGATAAAATGATAAAAGTAAAATATTCACAACACTTATGATAAAGGGCTAAAATCTTTCACGCACAAAGTTTCCTAAATCAATAAGAAAAAGACAAATGTCCACCATAAGAATAGCCAAAAGGATGTTAATAGAAATTATAAAAAGGGCTAATAAACACTGTGAAAAGATCTTAACCACATTTGAAATTAAGAAATACAATTCTACCTAAAATAATGTAAGCTATTACATTGGCAAAATGTTTAAAATTTGATGATGTCCAGTGACAGGAAGAGAATAGTGAGACTCATGCTCTCATGTTCTGTTGGCAGGAGCAAAATAGGAACAAATGTTTTGGAGTACAATTTGGTAAAATTTATCAAAGGTTAAAATACACATATTCTCGGTAATTCCCTGGCGGTCCAGTGGTTAGGACTCTGCGCTTCCACTGCAGGGGACACAGGTTCGATCCCTTGTCAGGGAACTAGATCCCATATGCATGCCGCAACTAAGAGTTCTCATGTCACAAATAAAGATCCCGAGTGCCGCAACTAAGATCTGGTGCAGCCAAATAAATTAAAATAAAATAAAATAAAAATTTAAAAATACCTAAATACAGTCACATAGAAAGATGTCAAAGACTACATTTCCCAGCCTCCTTTGCAGTTAGGTTGGGGCCATGTGACTAAGTGAGCCATGAAATGTGGACAGTAACAACTGATGAATACTACTTCTGGGGCTGGTCCCTAACAACCTTCCAGGTGCCCCTTGGCCCCTCCCTATTCTCCTTTCATTCAGCCAGAAGCGAAAGACTCCAGCATGATGATACACATTTTGCCAGCAAGACTGGAGGAACAGGCACTCTCCCACGTTACTGGTAGGAATGCAAAATGGTACCTTAAAATACCAAATAATTTATGTAAACCTTTATTCTGAACTATCAATCCCACTGATGTTGACTTTGCAAACACACTTCCATACTTAGCAAACAACAACAACCCACTAAAATTCCCCATTGCAGTATTAGATGTAATAGCAAAAGATTGGAACAGCCCAAATATCTATCAGATATTTGAATAAACTGGAGTACATCACTCCCCCAACCCTCAGTGGAGCACTTGGCAGTAATAAAAAGAATGACACAATCTCTACGCACTAGTTAGGATATATTGTTAAGTGGAAAAAGCATAACATAGAATAGTGTTTAAGTATGGTACCCATTCTGTATGAAAGAAGCAGACACAAAAATAAAGGGAAAGTTGGGCTTCCCTGGTGGCGCAGTGGTTGAGAGTCCGCCTGTCGATGCAGGGGACACGGTCCCGGTCCGGGAAGATCCCACATGCCGCGGAGCGGCTGGGCCCGTAAGCCATGGCCGCTGAGCCTGCGCGTCCGGAGCCTATGCTCCGCAACGGGAGAGGCCACAACAGTGAGAGGCCCGCGTACCGCAAAATAAATAAATAAATAAATAAATAAAGGGAAAGTAGGTTTATTTTCTTTTTCTTTTTTTTTTTTTTTTGCCCGCATTGCACAGCATGTGGGATCTTAGTTCCCCAATCAGGGATCAAACCCCTGCCCAGTGCAGTGGAAGTGCAAAGTCTTAACCACTGGACCACCAGGGAAATCCCTAGGGAAAGTAGTTTTATATTCACACAACCTTTATAGAAAAAAATGCTTCAGGCAAGAATTCTCAACAGTGTGCTAAATCAGTGGGGGTAGGGTGGGGAGGGGGGCAGAGTTTGATGGACAGCAAGTTGTCCTAGTCTGGAAGCACCTGTCCACAAACTATTAATTTAAAAAGGAAAGACAGTAATTATATTGTGGAGAAACTGGAAAGCACCTCAACCAAATGTTTAAAACTTAGTGTCACCACTTCCCTGGTGGTCCAATGGTAAAAAATCCGCCTTCCAATGCAGGGGACGCGGGTTTGATCCCTGGTAGGGGAAGTAAGATCTCACGTGCCGCGGGGCAACTAAGCCCGTGAGCCACAACTACTGAGCTCATGCACCTCAACGAGAGAGCCCGTGTGCTGCAACTAGATGCTCTAGAGCCCAGGTGCCACAACTAGAGAGGGAAAACCCTCACGCCACAACTAGAGAGAAGCCCGCGTGCCACAACAAAGAGCCCGCTCCACAAGAAAAGATCCCGCATTCCTCAATGAAGATCCCATGTGCTACAACTAAGACCTGAAGCCACCAAAACAAAAAAGAAATATGACAAATAAATAGGAAATGTGATCCTGGACAAGATCTTGAACCAGGGAAAAAAGTTGCTAGAAAGGACATTATTGTGACAATTGACAAAATTGGAATATGGACTGTAGATTGTAAAAGTATTGTATTGATGTTGGGACTTCCCTGGCAGTCCAGTGGTTAAGACTCCGAGCTTCCACTGCAGGGTGACTGGGTTCGATCCCTGGTCGGGGAACTAAGATTCCACATGCCATACGGCCAACAAAAGTATTGTATCAATGTTAAGTTGCCTGAATTTAATAACTATCCTGTGGAAATGTAGAGACTATTGTTCTTAGAAAATACACTGAAAGATTATGGGGTAAAGCGTCGTGATGTCCGCAACCTACTCTCAAAATGTCCTGAAATAAAAATAACTATATACACACACATACAGAGAGAATGATAGTAAATGTGCACAAGGTCAAAAATTGGTGAATCTGGGTAAGGAGTATGTGGGAGTTCTTTGTACTACTTTTGTAACTTCTCTACAGTTTTGAAATTACAGTTGACCCTTGAACAACACGGGTTTGAACTGCATAGGTCCACTTACATGCAGATTTTTTTCAATAGTAAATACTACTGTACCATATAATTCTTGGTTGGTTGAATCCCTGGATGTAGAACCACAAATTCGGAGGAACTATGGATACAGAGGAACAAAGGACATGGTGGACAAACTATTAAGTCATACTCGGATCTTCAACAGCACTGAGGGTCAGTGCCCCTCACAGGCTTAGCTGCCTGTGGGATCTTAGCATGTGGGATCTTATTTCCCTGACCAGGGATCGAACCCGCATCACCTGCAGTGGAAGGTGGATTCTAAACCACTGGACCACCAGGGAAGTCCTGGTGACATTAATTTTTAAGCATTTGGTTAAGGTGCTTTCCAGTGTTCAAGGGTCAACTGTATTTTAAAATAAAACTAAAAAAATCCCTAAATATCTATCTATCTAAGGTATATCAAAGAAACGAATAAAGAAAGGTTACCTTTGGGGATGAGTGAGATGAATAGGAGAGATGTGGATGGAAGCAAGACTTCTCTGAGTGTGACTTTTTAAAATAGTTTTCACTCAAACATATGAATATTCTATATATTCAAAAAAAACCTAAACAATAAAAAGGAAAAATCAAGCAAGCCTCCAGATTGAAAACACACTAAAATAAACCTAGATGTATATCCAATTGGTACCACACAGAGAAAAGAACAGATCACAGTAACTGAATATTCTTAGTGGGATATAGTGTAAGGAAGCAGTCTAATAGAAATACAATGTGAGCCACATATGTAATTGTTAATTTTCTAGTGCAACATTAAAAAAAATACTAAAAAGAAACAAGTGACATTAATATTAATAACATATTTTTAACCCAGAAATGTCCAAAATATTATCATTTCAACATGTAATCAATATAAAAAATTACTAATGAGATATTCATTATCCTTTTTTTTGTACTAATTCTGCAAAATCCAGTATCTACATTATACTCAGAGCACGTCTCAGATTGGACCAGTCACCATTCAAGTGTTCAGCAGCCACGATCAGCTGGTGGCTACCATGCTGGACGGCACAGATCTAAGGACTAAAAGAACTTCAAAGACATCGCAAATGTCACTCAGAAGTTTTATTGTTAATATTTATATTGGTGTGATACATTTGAGACCATATTATGTTCATTGTAAGAAAAGCAAATAAATAAATATTCTACGTTATAGAGATGTAAGATTTTCACTGTAAGAAAAAAGTATACAAATATAAAGTGAAAGAGGGAATTCCCCGGTGGTTCAGTGGTTAGGACTCCTCACTTTCACTGCCAAGAGCGTCGGTTCAATCCCTGGTCAGGGAACTAAGATTCCCCAAGCCGTGTGGAGGGGTTAAAAAAAAAAAAATTGGGCTTAAAAAAAAAAAAACAACAACAGAGGACATACGGGATACAACCAGCAAAATCCAGACTGTGGGAATCTCTATAGGACAAACAACACAGTTTCTGCAATAACAAGGAGAGAAAAAAGAAATGGTGGGAGGATTTATAGATTAAGAGATTTAAAAGATAACCAGGGGCTTCCCTGGTGGCACAGTGGTTAAGAATCCAATGCAGGGGAAATGGGTTTGAGCCCTGGTCCAGGAAGATCCCACATGCCACAGAGCAACTGAGCCCGTGCGCCACAACTACTGAAGCCCGCATGCCTAGAGCCCATGCTCCTCAGCAAGAGGAGCCACTGCGATGAGAAGCCCGCGCACCACAACGAAGAGTAGCCCCCGCTCGCTGCAACTAGAGAAAGCCCACACAAAGCAACGAAGACCCAACAGAGCCATAAATAAATAAATAAATAATTTTTAAAAAATTAAAAAAATAAAAGATAACCAATTTGCTAGAATATGGATGAAGCTTGAGGACATTATGCTAAGTGAAATAGGCCAGTCATAAGAAGACTAATACTGTATGATTCTGCTTATATGAGGTACCCAGAGTAATCAAATTCATAGACACAGAAAGAAGAATGGTGGTTGCTAGGGACTGGGAAGGAGGAAGATGGAGAGTTAGTGTTTAATGGGTACAGAGTTTCAGTTTGGGAAGATGAAAAAGTTCTGGAGATGGATGGTGGTGATGGCTACACAACAATGTGAATATACTTACTGCCATGGAACTGTACACTTACACACGGTTAAAATAGTAAAGTTTTGTTCAAAATAAAAGTTTAAGAAGATAATCAAATGCAATGTGTGGACCTTATTTTGAACATGATTCAAACCAATAAATTGGGAATTCCCTGGCAGTGGTTAGGACTCCATACTTTCACTGCTGGGGGCCCAGGTTCAATCCCTGGTCGGGTAACTAAGATCCCACAAGTTGCGCAGTGGGGCCAAAAAGAAAAAAAAAAAGAAAACACACAAAAAACCCAACAAATTGTAAATTTAAGGAACACACATTTATGACATTTGTGAGATGACTGGGACACTGGATATTTGATGATGAGATCAAGGAACTGTTGTTAAAATTCTTTTAGGTGTAATGGTTCAGTGGTTGAAAAAAAAAGAGTTCTTATCTTTTGGAGGTACCTACTGAAACATTACAAATGAAGTGATAACAACATCTGGGATTTGCTTCAAAATAACATGAGGGATTTCCCTGGTGGTCCAGTGGTTAAGACTCCGAGCTCCTGATGCAGGTGCACCGGATTCGATCCCTGGTCAGGGAACTAAATCCCGCATGAGGCAGTGAAGATCCCACATGCCACAACTAAGACCTGGCACAGCCAAATAAATAAATAAATATATTTTTTAAATAATAATATAAGAGGTAAGTGGGTGGGAATTAGATGACACCCAGTTGAACCTGAGTTGACAATAGTGAAGCTGCATCATGGTGACATGGGGTTTCTTTACACTCTTCTATTCTTTGTATATGTTTGAAATTTTCCACAATAAACAGGTTTTGTTAAGAAAAATAAAGGTACTCTGTGGAAAAAGAGATCCATGAGCAAAACAGTGATTAAAAAACAAAAACAGGGCTTCCCTGGTGGTGCAGTGGTTGAGAATCTGCCTGCCAATGCAGGGGACACAGGTTGGAGCCCTGGTCTGGGAAGATCCCACATGCTGCAGAGCAACTAGGCCCGTGAGCCACAACTACTGAGCCTGCGCGTCTGGAGCCTGTGCTCCACAACAAGAGAGGCCGCAATAGTGAGAGGCCCGCACACCACGATGAAGAGTGGCCCCCGCTCGCCGCAACTGGAGAAAGCCCTCGCACAGAAACGAAGACCCAACACAGCCAAAAATGAATTAATAAATAAAAAACAAAAACAAAAATCATCCTGGATTCAATAACTGTAAAAGAGCTGCCTACCCCAGGGTTTCTGAGAGCCATTAACCATCACAGGGCACAGAGACTCCAAGAGGCAGACGGTGCTCAGGCCAATCTCAGACCTATCTGACCTGGGTCCCCTTCCTGCAAAGTGCAGTTTGAGCATCCGTGTTCCCAAACCACTTAGGGACATCTCTTGGCCATTTCCCATTCTCTGGAGCATTGCTGCCCACTATTGGTTAAGGAGACACCCTAGGGCTATTTATGTGTTTTCAATTGTTTTTCTTTCTTTTTTTATTTTGGCTGCACCGTGAAGCATGTGGGAATCTTAGTTCCCCGACCAGGGATGGAACCAACGACCCCTGCAGTGGAAGCACAGAGTCTTAACCACTGGACTGCCAGGGAAGTCCTCAATTTTCTTCATTCTTTCCTGTGTTTTCTAGAATTCCTATAATAAGCATGAATTATTTTATAGTCAGAAAATTTTTTTCCCAAAAGTTATCTTAGTGATGACTAATTAGAGGTTCATTATACTCTTCATTTTACCTTGATGTGTGCTGAAAAATTGCCATCATCAAAGTTATCTCCCTAAGGTGAGGCATGAGTTGCTTTGGGGCCCATTTTTATTTTTCCAAAAGCCTGTGGGAATCTGTAATCAAGTAGGGTTGATTAGGCAGACCTTCTCTGCTGGCCTGTATCTAGACACCATACTCACTGTTTCTCCAGAAGCTCCTGCCAAACCAGAGGCTGATCATACATGTGTCAGCCACCCCAGTTACCCTTTCTTATTTAAGCTCAAAAGTTCCTCAGAGGCCACTCAAGTACCTAGAAGGCATGTAGAACCCACAGGGGCAGCTATGCCATTTATGTCGAGGACACAACCCACCACTAACCTGCTATGGAAAGATAGAAATCCTTGAAGTCCTTGATCTCCCGGGAGCCCTCACAGGCAGCAAGACACTCATAAAAGGCCTTGAAGAAGTCAGGAAGGGCCAGCTCCATGTCCGTGATGCATGTCCTCCAGTTCTCACCGTTGTACCCCCGCACGGCTCGGATGAACAGGCTCTGGAATCATCAGAAAGTCTACAAATAATAAATGATGGAGAGGATGTGGAGAAAAGGGAATCCTCCTACACTGTCGGTGGGAATGTAAATTTGTACATCCACTATGGAGAACCGTAATGACGTTCCTCAAAAAACTAAAACTAGAGCTACCATATGACCCAGCAACCCCATTCCTGGGCATATATCCAGAGAAAACTCTAAATTCAAAAAGATACATGCATCCCTATGTTCACAGCAGCACTATTTACAATAGCCAAGACATGGAAGCAACCTAAGTGTCCATCAACAGGTTGCATGGATAAAGAAGATGGAATATTACTCAGCCATAAAAAAGAGTGAAATAATGCCATTTGCAGCAACATAGATGGACCTAGAGATGATCATACTAACTGAAGTAAGCCAGACAGAGAAAGACAAATACCATATGATATCACTTATATGTGGAATCTAAAAAATGTTGCAAATGAACTTGTATACAAAACAGAAATAGGCTCACAAAGTAGGAAAACAAACTTATGGTTATCAAAGGGGAAAAGGGTAGGGGAGGGATAAACTGGGAATTAACAGATACACACTACTATATATAAAATAGGTAAACAACAAGGACCTACTGCATAGCACAGGGAACTATATTCAATAGCTTGTAATAACTATAATAGAAAAGAATCTGAAAAATAATACATATATATATATTCTATGTATAACTGAATCACTCTGCTATACACCTGAAACACTGTAAATCCATTATACTTCAATTAAAAAAACACAAAAACAAACAAACAAACAAAAAGCAGGCTCTGGAAAGCAGAGAGAAGCCAAGGAAGGTCCAGACATGAAGGGAGAGAGATCTGTCCTCCTGAAAGGAATCAGACCATCATCAAGCTCTACTCTCATTAGCTCTGGAGAAACCATGCTCACTCTTAATTATAAATAGGACACCAATCAGTAACTTACCTATATCTAGATTTTTCTACCCTGTTCACAGTGGTACACTTATTTTATTTAATTCAAAAACTAGCAGGCACAATCCACCAGAGGGCAGCCAGCAGAAACAAGAACTACAATCCTGCAGCCTGCAGAACGAAAACCACATTCATTCACAGAAAGATAGACAAAATGAAAAGGCAGAGGGCTATGTACCAGATGAAGGAACAAGATAAAACCTCAGAAAAACAATTAAATGAAGTGGAGATAGGCAACATTCCAGAAAAAGAATTCAGAATAATAATAGTGAAGATGACCCAGGACCTCGGAAAAAGAATGGAGACAAAGATCAAGATGTCATAAATGTTTAACAAAAACCTAGAAGAATTAAAGAACAAACAAACAGAGATGAACAATACAGTAACTGAAATGAAAAATACACCAGAAGGAATCAATAGCAGAATGACTGAGGCAGAAGAATGGATAAGTGACCTGGAAGACAGAATGGTGGAATTCACTGCTGCGGAACAGAATAAAGAAAAAAGAATGAAAAGAAATGAAGACAGCCTAAGAGACCTCTGGGACAACATTAAACGCAACAACATTCACATTATAGGGATCCCAGAAGGAGAAGAGAGAGAGAAAGGACCTGAGAAAATGTTTGAAGAGATTATAGTCGAAAACTTCCCTAATATGGGAAAGGAAATAGCCACCCAAGTCCAGGAAGCGCAGAGAGTCCCAGGCAGGATAAACCCAGGGAGAAACACACCAAGACACATAGCAACAAAATTGACAAAGAAAAATTATTAAAGGTAGCAAGTGAAAATGACAAATAACATTCAAGGAAACTCCCATAAGGTTAACAGCTGATTTCTCAGCAGAAACTCTACAAGCCAGAAGGGAGTGACACGATATATTTAAAGTGATGAAAGGGAAGAACCTACAACCAAGATTACTCTACCCAGCAAGGATCTCATTCAGATTCAATGGAGAAATCAGAAGTTTTACAGACAACCAAAAGCTAAGAGAATTCAGCACCACCAAACCAGCTCTACAACAAATGCTAAAGGAACTTCTCTAAGTGGGAAACACAAGAGAAGAAAAGGCCCTATGAAAACAAACCCAAAACAATTAAGAAAATGGTAATAGGAACATACATATTGATAATTACCTTAAATGTGACTGGATTAAATGCTCCAATCAAAAGACAAAGGCTCGCTGAATGGATACAAAAACAAGACCCATATATATGCTGTCTATAAGAGACCCACTTCAGACCTAAGGACACATACAGACTGAAAGTGAGGGGATGGAAAAAGATATTCCATGCAACTGGAAGTCAAAAGAAAGCTGGAGTAGCAATACTCATATCAGATAAAATAGACTTTAAAATAAAGAATGTTACAAGAGACAAGGAAGGACACTATAATGATCAAGGGATCAATCCAAGAAGAAGATATAACAATTATAAATATATATGCACCCAACATAGGAGCACCTCAACACATAAGGCAAATGCTAACAGCTATAAAAGAGGAAATCAACAGTAACACAATAATTGTTGGGGACTTTAACACCTCACTTACACCAGTGGACAGATCATCCAGAGAGAAAATTAATAAGGAAACACAAGCTTTAAATGACACAATAGACCAGATAGATTTAATTGACATTTATAGGACATTCCATCTGAAAACAGCAGATTACACTTTCTTCTCAAGTGTGCACGGAACATTCTCCAGGATAGATCACATCTTGGGTCACACATCAAGCCTCAGTAAATTTAAGAAAATTGAAATCATATCAAGCATCTTTTCCAACCACAATGCTATGAGATTAGAAAAAATTACAGGGGAAAAAATGTAAAAAACACAAACACATGGAGGCTAAACAGTATGTTACTAAATAACCAAGAGATCACTGAAGAAATCAAAGAGGAAATCAAAAAATACCTAGAGACAAATGACAACGAAAACACAACGATCTAAAACCTATGGAATGTTTCTAGCAATACAATCCTACCTTAAGAAGCATGAAAAATCTCAAATAAACAATCTAACCTTATACCTAAAGGAACTAGAGAAAGAAGAACAAACAAAACCCAAAGTTAGCTGAAGGAAGGAAATCATAAAGATCAGAGCAGAAATAAATGAAATAGAAACAAAGAAAACAATAGCAAAGATCAATAAAACTAAAAGGTGATTCTTTGAGAAGATAAATGAGATTGATAAACCTTTAGCCAGACTCATCAAGAAAAAGAGGGAGAGGACTCAAATCAATAAAATTAGAAATGAAACAGGAGAAGTTACAATGGACACCGCAGAAATACAAAGCATCATAAGAGACTACTACAAGCAACTCTATGCCAATAAAATAGACAAGCTGGAAGAAATGGACAAATTCTTAAAAAGATATAACCTTCCAAGACTGAACCAGGAAGAAATAGAAAATATGAACAGACCAATCACAAGTAATGAAATTGAAATTGTGATTAAAACTCTTCAAACAAACAAAAGTCCAGGACCAGGTGGCTTCACAGGTGAATTCTATCAAATATTTAGAGAAGAGCTAACACCCCATCCTTCTCAAACTCTTCCAAAATATTGCAGAGGAAGGAACACTCCCAAACTCATTCCACGAGGCCACCATCACCCTGATACAAAAACCAGACAAAGATACTACAAAAAAAGAAAATTACAGACCAATATCACTGATGAATACAGATGCAAAAATCCCCAACAAAACACTAGCAGACAGAATCCAACAACACATTAAAAGGATCATACCGGGCTTCCCTGGTGGCACAGTGGTTGAGAGTTCGCCTGCCGATGCAGGGGACACGGGTTCGTGCCCCGGTCCGGGGAGATCCCACATGCCGCAGAGCGGCTGGGCCCGTGAGCCATGGCCGCTGAGCCTGCGTGTCCGGAGCCTGTGCTCCGCAACGGGAGAGGCCACAACAGTGAGAGGCCCGCGTACCACAAAAAAAAAAGAAAAAAAAAAAGGATTGTACCATGATCAAGTGGGATTTATCCCAGGGATGCAAGGATTCTTCAATATATGCAAATCAATCAATGTGATAAACCATATTAACAAACTGAAGAATAAAAACCATATGATCATCTCAACAGATGCAGAAAAAGTTTTTGACAAAATTCAACACCAATTTATGATAAAAACTCTCCAGAAAGTGGGCATAGAGGGAACCTACCTCAACATAATAAAGGCCATATACAACAAACCCACAGCAAACATCATTCTCAATGGTGAAAAACTGAAAGCATTTCCTCTAAGATTAGGAACAAGACAAGATGTCCACTCTCGCCACTATTATTCAACATAGTTTTGGAAGTCCTAGCCACGGCAATCAGAGAAGAAAAAGAAATAAAAGGAATACGAAGTGGAAAAGAAGAAGTAAAACTGTCACTCTTTGCAGATGACATGATACTATACATAGAGAATCCTAAAGATGCCACCAGAAAACTACTAGAGCTAATCAATGAATCTGGTAAAGTTGCAGGATACAAAATTAATGCACAGAAGTCTCTTGCATACCTATACACTAATGATGAAAAATCAGAAAGAAACTAAGGAAACAATCCCATTCACCACTGCAACAAAAAGAATAAAATACCTAGGAATAAACCTACCTAAAGAGGTAAAACACCTGTACGCAGAAAACTATAAGACACTGATGAAAGAAAGCAAAGATGACACAAACTGATGGAGAGATATACCATGTTCTCTCTTTCGTTCAGATTATTTTCAAATCACTGTTTAGTATTGTGTGTCTTATCTTAATTAAAAAAAAATAGTAACAGGCACTTGATAATAAAATCAAGTTTGAATAAAGGAAAAAGAGAAAACTCTAGTGACAGAAACCAGAGCAGTGGCTGCCAGGAGTCAGGGGGTAGGGCAAAGCCTAGACTGCACAGGAGTATGAGGGAACTTTTTAGGGGAGAAGAAAATATTCTACATCATGATTGTGGTGGTACCTTTGACAAAACTCATCGAATTACACACTTAAAATTAGTAAATAAGTTTTAAATCGATTCAAGGAAAAGATAAAGCTTAAGCAAGTGTCAGATACCCCTCCCCCTAACAGTGAAGTATGAACTAGGAGTGCCACACATCAGTACAAGTTCCTGGGGAGGGCAGCCGCGTGCCAGATAGTGGAAACGTCAAGGAATTTCTGCTAACTGTTGCCTGGAGCAGGTAAAAGAAATAATTAGGGCTGAGGAAGCAGCCTGGTTTCACAAGAAATAAGTGGAGATCTTGGACGCAGGTGGAAACCTGCCAAATTGGAGCGGCCAAGACAGGCCTTGAAATACGCATGGGGCTCTCCATTTGTAGTTTTGTTTTCAGTTGCTCTGGAATGGGGGTATTTGAGGGTCACCCCTGGGACCTGAAATTTTCACCCAACTAAAGGCCTCAGGTTAAGAAGGTGGGTCTCCTTATACCTCCTGGGCAGGCAGCATCTCCTGGAAACAAGACAGGCAGAGAGCTGAAGGGGCTTTGTCTGGAGATTGGGTACAAGAGCAGCAACACCAGGCCGCTGGCTCTGCAGAAATGGCAGCGTGGCAGCAGCAAGAAAGCCCTGCAGAGAGAGGAAGCCCCTAGGCACGGTGGGGATGGTGGGGAGGGGGCAGCCCGCCACACCCAGCAGGACTCCAAAGAGGGCAAGAAGGGTGCAGCTGCTTGCAGTGAAGCACAGTGCATTCTGCTCCCCAAACCCTACCCCAAAAATGACAGGGAAGAAAGTAAAAAGACTTCAGTCCTTTTATGGGGGAACTGGAAAGGAGCAAGCAGCAGACAAGAGATTTCAACAGCTTTTGGAAAGACAAAAAACCAAATTATCAGAGAGGAGGGACCTCAGAGCAGGTGAGCTACACACTCGTAGGCACCTGCAGGCACCAGGGACCACGGAGGCTGGCACAAGGCATGGGAAAGAAAGCAGGGCTGAAAGTCTGAAAGAGCTGTTGGAACCCTGGGTTCGCCCACCAGTGCCCACCTGCTCACCTAAGGGACCACACCTCCCAAAGCCACTCCTTGCCAGAGACTGGTGGTCTATTCTAGAGACTCTACCCATAAAGGCTGAGGGGCCAGGGAGCAGGCATAGCAGAGCCGAGTCGAGGCATGGGCTGAAAACCAGGAAGCAGGTAAGGTCTCAGACTCAGCTGTGAGACCCCCATCCCTCTCCCGAGACTGGCTCTCAGACACCAGTAGAGAAGCACGGACACCCCACCAGCCCTGCATGAGGCTGGAGAATCCTTCCCTAGAAAACTGAAGGGCTCCAGGAAAGAGACTTCGCCCACTATGTTTGAGGGTCACCACCAGTGAAAAAGTGAGCTTGAGATCTGGTCCCACGATAGGAAACCCTGGAGTCAGACCTTAGGATCTAACGGCTCCCATGGGTACTTCCAACACATCCCTCTGTTTTCAACCCTGCCCACCCTCCACTGGTACCCACACCCCCAGAGCCCGAGCTCCACAGGGCCGGACAACAGTAAGTGCTCAAAGGGCTCAGATTCTTCCTCTTCTTATTATCCTCATTCATTCTCATCAGAATTCCGCTCTGCAGATGCAGAGACTTAAGTAGCCTCCAATCTGTCAAGTCAGTCCTCCTAGCGCCTCTATTTCCTTTCCAACTTAAGATATAAAGTTGTGTGTGTGTATTAATATATATGTTTCCTAGCTTCATCAGAAATGGAGAATTATATTTCTGTTTCTCCTATTCTTGGTCATTTTCAGATGATTTCCAAGACACGTCTTTATTCTACCATCTTATTCTACCATCACATGACCATATTTCTAAAATGTAGCATTTAAAAAGAAAGTGGCTTTCAAATCATCATGGAAAGTAAAACTGCATTCTTAAATGGATCAACTAGGTGTTAAAAAGGCAATCATTTCTATTGTCATAATATTCACTAAATGTCATCAAAAATCACTAGCGGTCCTTTGATGTCAATAGATGTTCACTGAGATACGCTTCTTTGACAGCTCGCATTGCAAATAACCACTGTGTAAAAATGCAAATATACCTCATACAACTTGGTTTCCAAGTCTTTAATGTAGTCCTCAGCATCGGGCAGGCTCTTATAATAAGCCATGTTTCTCTTCATCATTTCATCATCAGGATGCTTCAGTAGAAAGGTGTGAGCAGCTGCAATGGCTTTTGGAAGATTATTTGCCTAAAGTACAAAGAAGAAAGAGAAAAGCTACTCAATGGGTGGTGAGCGTGAACGTCTGTTCAGTCCTTCGGCAACTTTGTGTTTCTACACAATGTTGGAAGCTAAGGGTTCAGTGATTTCCAAGACCCAGCAAGACCTGGTCCAGCCACTCTGGAAGAGTGTTCATTCGCTGCAGGTGAGTAGATGGCCTTCGTGTGCCTGTCCCGATCTACGCCCTGCAGTCTCCACCTTACCCTGCCCTGCCCAGGAGGCTGGTGTACAGGCTGTCACAGCGGACTCCCTTGCCCCCTAGCTTCCAGTGGGTTCATCAATGAGGAGCTCCAACAGGAACCCAACAGGAGACTGAAGGAAGGGAAGAGAATAAGGCTGGGCTATTAGTGTCCTGGTTCCCTCACTGCAAGGTCGCTCCCTTGACTGAAGGTCACAGCCCCTCTCAAAGGGGGCCTCTCCTTCCGGTATCTCTCCTTCTGGCTTCCAGCAATTGGTCTCTCCCTTGCCCCTTCTGGCCTGGGTGGGGGAGTGTCACACCTCACTATCACTACCCCTTGTAAATACCTGCTTTATTAAAAGCTTCTCCAACTACCCAGTATGACTATATCACATCTTTTCTGCCAGAACCTTGACAGATGTATCAATACTTTACAGAGTCTCTCACAGAATCTCGGCTTCACTGTTCTCAGTGGTTCCCACCACCTCCTCACTTACTCATCCATTCACTCAGCAAATATTTGTTGCAAGCCTCCTACACGCCAGGCACTGTTCTAGGAAATGGGTCTGTAACAATGAGCAAAACAGGGAAAGAATCCCTGCCTTTACGTACTGGACATGCAGGTGAGCCCTCCCTATTCCCGTAACCTTGATCAAGAACCTCTTTTTTTTTTTTGGTGGGGGGACATGCCTCCTTATGACCTGTTTATTTCAAGTAACTGACCCAACCTGTACCAAATGGATTCATTTCCTCTCTCTCTCCTCTATCTATATATATAGATACACACACACACATCATATACATGGGTCTACAGGTGAATACTTGCAGATAGACATGTTGACATGTAACTTTACTATTTCATGGATATATGTGTACTAATATATTTTATACACTATATAATATATAATGTAATATATGTAATACATTATAATTAAAATGTATATAATTATTTTTGTAAATAAGTTCATTTGTATCTTTTTTCTTAGATTCTGCATATAAGTGATATCATATGATATTTCTCTGTCTGACTTACTTCACTCAGTATGACAGTCTCTAGCAACTCCATGTTGCTGCAAATGGCATTATTTCATTCTTTTTTATGGCTGAGTAATATTGCATTGTATATATGTTCCACATCTTCTTTATCCATTCATCTGTCGATGGACATTTAGGTTGCTTCCATGTCACAGCTATTGTAAACAATGCTGCAATGAACATTGAGGTGCATGCATCCTTTCAGACCGTGTTTTTCTCCAGATACATGCCCAGGAGTGGGTTTGTTGGGTCATATGCTAGCTCTATTTTTGTTTTTTTAAGGAACCTCTGTACTGTTCTCCACAGTGGCTGTACCAATTTACACTCCCACTAACAGTATAGGAGGGCTCCCTTCTCTCCACACCCTCTCCAGCATTTATTGTTTGTGAATTTTTTGATGATGGCATCTTTTGTGCCATCCTGTGTTCTGTCTCCCTGCTTTTCACACCTCTTTGTGGTCTCAGCTAATGTGTCTGTCTCCCCCTCCAGACTCTGAGCCTTGAAGGACCCAGCAGTGTCATTCATGTCTGCACTCCTGGTACCTGGCACAGTTCCTGCGACAAAGCAGGACTTGGTAAGTACCAGTGATTTGGATGTAACATCACCACTGCATAATATTTTCATGAAATTAATTCATGTTTCCCTCTATTTTCCCCTCTCTCTCTTCTCCCCACTAGGTGGTGGTCAGCTGATTCTGAGTTTCACTGCCTCATGGGAGGTAGCTGTCTGGTCAGGACACAGAAACATGACAAAAGCCCCTGTACTCTTGAGAGAACTTGGCAAGTATGGGAAGAGGAGGAAATCGGGAGAGGGAGCTGCAGGAAGAAGCTGACTGGCCTGGAAGAAGAGGGAGGAAAGGGAACCCTCTAGGCCAGAAGAACGTCCCCCTTGGGGTCTGCAGGGGCAGCAAGGTCTGTGGCCCTTGACCTTCAGGTTTGGCACCTGCAGGCGGAGCCCAGGAGAGCAGAAGTCCTTAGAGAGGAATGGGATGTTCTGGGGGCGGGAGGCTCAAGGAGGCCCTCGGTGGGCAGCCGAGGATAGGGACACCTCCCTGTGTGGACATGCGAGCAGCAAACAGAGGACCCCCCGCGATGTCCTGGCTCCTCGGTGCCCTGGAATCACAGCACAACCTGGTGGGGGCGAGGGGAGGCCCCCGGATCTCGTGCACAGAGACTCCTTCAGCCAATCCAGAGGGACATTCTGGGGCAAGAATTAGGGAATTCAATTTGGAGAGAGAAAAATAAAGGGATACTTTGCACACTCTGGATTTCCGAGAATCAAAGGATAGCACATACCTGTGCAAAATTGCCCCAGCATGGGAGCCCAGTCATTTGGAGACAATGGCAGTGGCCGCCCTGGAGGAGTGATGGGTGGTGATAACGACAGACTCCCAGAAGCCAGTGTTGATATTTGGGGAATGCCAGCTAGTGACCTGGAGTGCGACTGCCTTTTTTTTTTTTTTTTTGCTCTGCTGCCGGCTGCTTGTGGGATCTTAGCTCATGGACCAGGGGTGGAACCTTGGGGCGGGGGGGGGGGGGGGGGGGGGGGCGGAAGGGGGATGGGGAAGCACAGAGTCCTAACCACTGGACCACCAGAGAATTCCCAGAACTGCCTTTGAAAGAGTTCTACAGACAGCTTTATACTCCTGGCTGGAAAAAGGCCAGTCTGGCAGCCAGAAGGAAGGGAAGAGTATGAATGCAGCCCTTTTTAAAGCATGTGCCAATGAAATTAGATTCTCTGATTCTCAGAAGAGCACTTAGAAAGAGTGGCACAGAGTGGGATTTTTAAGGCCTCTCACTCAGGACCTGAGTTTTACAAAATGGAATCCCTTCCTGAAGGATGATTTTATTCATTTTTAACTCCAGCTCTGTCAGCTGGAGCATGGAGCCACATCTTGACAGCTAAATCTCTGACAGCCCCCAGGTAGGTTTTAGAGAAGGAGTGGGTGGGGGAACCTACCCTGCCATGGGTTCCTGAGAGACAGCCACCTGCATGAGAGGCTCCCAGTCACCTGCCAAACCAGCCACCCCTCAACCAGGGAAGGACAGAGTCCAGGTCCAGGCAAAGAGGGGGTAAGCATGCCTGCGAGGCAGCCAGCTCTGTCAGCTCAGAGTTCAACAGTCATCAAGGATTTGATAAAGCGCTGGGGCCCACCTGTTCCTCGGCCTGTGGGGAAGATGAGTATTTCATGGAGATGGCGGCCACAGAGAGAACCCACAGCTCATGACATGAACCTAAGTCAGGCTTGGGGCATGAAACCTACCGTGGTTTCAGATCCTGCTAGAGCAGGAAGCACCATCCATCTCCGGTACCTGTCGCCAGCCGTCAGGTGCCAGGTAGAATGAATGTGCCTGTCACCAATTATTTCCTCTCTACCCAGAAACAGAGTTTGAAAATATAAACTCCATTAAGGAAAAAAAAAAAAATCAGCCATACAATATCATCACCCCAAATCACTTTTTCAGTGATTTTCAGTTGAAGCAATTAAGTGAAGGTTCTGGTTTATTTATAAAATTCTAAACTTCTCCCTGCCCTGTAAGTGATCTCAAAATACTAAGACAGATGGTATTATACTGACTTTTGTTTTTTGGCTGCACCCCACAGCTTGCAGGATCCTAGTTCCCTGACCTGGGATCAAACCCATGCCCCCTGCCGTGGAAGTGCAGAGCCTTAACCACTGGACCGCCAGGGAATTCCCTATACTGACTTATAAGTAAGTGATTGTTACAAGACCTACAAAGGGTTTTGAGAGAAGCTATGAACTTCCTAACCTTTGAGGATGTCAGGATGGAGGAAACCCCTGCCTTCCGGTCACATTGTAGCACTGCAGTCCCCTCCTCCCTGCAGCACTTGTTTCAAAGTCATCTGTATATTAGAGAAATCAGAGCTTCCACTATTCTCCAGGTTTAAAAATAAAACGTTTTCCCCTCGATTATGTGACTCAAATTTGGCTCAGACTGTATTTGCCAAAAGTTCTACAAAAAAGAGAGAGGATTAAAACGAGTCCTTTTTAGCGTAAAAAATACTGCTTGTATGAGTCAGCCATTATTTCTGCATTTCATACATTCTGGAAATGTATTAATCTTATCCCAGTTCTATTTTAAAATTGTCTTTTTATTGCCAGGACAAACACTCACAAATCTGATACTTATATAAAGCTGTAATCAGGCATAGAAATAACCCAGCTTTTCTCCTATTTAGGGTTTCTGCTATTTTATGGCTCATATGAACGCAACAGACACGCAGCTCCGTTTCAGGGAAATATGAAAAACAGATCTTGCAGCCCAAAGACTGAAAGCAAAGTTTAAAAACTCGTTTTCGGTTCGAGAAAGTAGAAACTGGACTTTGAGAGGGCTCTATTGGCAAAACCCGGTGAAGACCCACCAAGCTAAAACCTGTTTATCCAGTAACAGGGAATTCGGCCCCTCTTAAAACTTGTGGGTCCCCAGAGTAAGGACTTAAAGGATAGAGACTGCAATTTGTGGCTATTTTTAGCCAGCAATCACAGGCAGAATGTAAGCAGCCACAAAAAGGAGGAAGACAACTGTGTTACATTCTAGATGAAAGACAGCCAGCCCAGAGCGCCAGCCCTGATGAATCACAGTGCTCAGCTGCTTCTCCGGAAGTGTCCTTCCAAGGAGCCCTGCCCTTTCCTGGCCTTAATTTCCTCTTTAAAAGGGACTGGCCGGCTCCGCAGGTCCTCTTCCGCCCTATTACTGAAAGGCACCACTCACTTGAGAAATGGGATTTTAACCGTATATACCAAAAAAGGAGTCTGTCTTCAAATAACACTGTGCTAGGCGTTCTATGTATGTTCTCCGCCTCAGAACAACCCTTCAAGAAAAGTATTTTCATCTCTACTGAAGATGAAGATGAGGGGGAACAGGATTTGAAGGCGTCCTTTGGCAGCGCGGGGTGGGAAAGAACTAAGTCAAGAAAGAGCGTTGGGACGCGGCCCAGGACCGAGGGACAGAGCCTGGGCCTAAGGGGCGGGGCCTAGGCTTGATGGCGAGGCGGGGCCTAGGCTTGGGGGCGGGGCGGGGCCTAGGCTTGGGGGCGGGGCGGGGCGAGGCGAGGCGGACTTGCCTTGAAGTAGGCGAACTGCAGGAACTTGTAGGGCTCTCGGCGCTGGAAGTCGGCCAGCACTTCGCGGCTGGGCTGCGACTGGCGGAAGGCCGGCAGGCCCTGCTTGCAGCGCTTGAGGCAGTGCGCGCGGCGCAGCAGGCCCCCGAAGAGGCGCAGCTCCGGGTGGCGCGCGAGGCCGGCGGCGGGCTCGGGCTGCGGCGCCGCGCTGCAGTTGCGGTGGCAGAAGGCCTCGCTGTCGCGTAGCAGGCGGTGCAGCCGCAGGCTGATCTCCAGATAGCCCACGCTCTCCGCCCAGTGCTCGCCGCTGTATTGGTCCAGCGCGTGCCGGTAGGCCGACTCGAGCGGCATCAGCTCGTCCCGAGGGAAGCTGCGGAAGCTGTAGCGCTCGTACTGGGCGCGCCCGGAGCGCAGCGCGCAGCCAGCGCACAGCAGCGCCAGCAGCGCCGCGGCCGCATGGCGCCCCGGCTCCATCGCTCCCGACGGAAGGAAGGAAGGAAGGAAGGAGGGGTGCGAGAAGGAAAGGAAGCGGGAGGACTGAGCGACGCGGCGAGCCGAATGCTGGGGAGGCGGGGACGCCAGCCTCCGGCCCGCCCCGTCCGGCTGCCCCTCCCCACCCAATCCGGGGGTCCGGGCGAAACTGCCCGCGCGGAGTGGGTGTCCTGGGGAGGGGCGCTGCCCTCTAGTTCCTGCACGATCTAATCCGTGATCCTGGGCTCCACGGTTAGCTCCTTTATAAAGAGGGCGGTCTGCAAGCCAGGCGCGGCCCTAATGGATCATAGATCAGCGCTGCTTACACTTTAGAATCTTTTAGAGGACTTGTGAAAACGCAGATTCCTGGACCGTGACCCCAGAGTTTCTCATTCAGCAAGTCTGGTTGGGATGGGGGTCTGAGGATCTAAGATTCTAACCAGCACCCTGGTGAGACTGATCCTGCGGGTCCACTGCCTACACTTTGATGGCACTGCGACGACCTCATTTCAATGAAAGACAATGCATAAATAAAATTAATAAGGATGTCAGTGGCGCTTTGTAAACTGTTAAGCTAATCAAGTTGAAGATGCACACACCTTATGACTGTCATTCCACTCCTCAGAATACGCTGGAGAGGGAATTCCATGGCGGTCCGGTGGTTAGGACTCGGCGCTTTCACTACTGAGGGCGTGGGTTCAATCCCTGGTGGGGGAACTAAGATCCCGGGAGCAGTGCGGTGAGGCCAAAAATTTTTTTAAATAAATAAATAAAAGAATACGCTCGAGAAACTTGTATGTGTGCATCAAAAGATGCGGAAAGGGCTTCCCTGGTGGCGCAGTGGTTGAGTGTACGCCTGCCGATGCAGGGGACACGGGTTCGTGCCTCGGTCCGGGAAGATCCCACGTGCCGCGGAGCGGCTAGGCTCATGAGCCATAGCCGCTGAGCCTGCGCGTCCGGAGCCTGTGCTCTGCGACGGGAGAGGCCACAGCAGTGAGAGGCCCGCGTACCGCAAAAAAAAAAAAAAAAGATGCGGATAGAGGGGCCTCCCTGGTGGTCCAGTGGCTAAGACTCCGTGCGCCCAATGCAGGGAGCCTGGGTTCCATCCCTGGTCAGGGAGCTAGATCCCGCATGCCGCAACGAAGATCCTGTGGGCCGCAACTAAGACCCGGTGCAGCCAAATAAATAAATTAATATTTTTTAAAACAAATAATTTACAGAAAAATTAAAAGGATAGTAGAAACAATTCCTATATAGCCCTCATCCACATTCACAAATTGCTAAGTTATGCCACATTTACTTTCTCTATATTTATCTCTATGCTTTTTTCTGAATCATTTGAGAGTACATTGCATACATGAGGTCACTTCCCCCTTAATCTTTCAGTATTGATATGTATGTCCTAAGAACTAAACTACAGACAATGATCAAATTCAGGAAACTTAGCATTGATGAAGGACTAATCTATATTCCCTATTCCTGTTTTGTCAACTGTCCTAATAATGTCTTTTTTTTTTTTTTTGCGGTACGCGGGCCTCTCACTGTTGTGGCCTCTCCCGTTGCAGAGCACAGGTTCCAGACGCGCAGGCTCAGTGGCCATGGCTCACGGGCCTAGCCACTCCACGGCATTTGGGATCTTCCCGGACCGGGGCACGAACCCATGTCCCCTGCATCGGCAGGCGGACTCTCAACCACTGCGCCACCAGGGAAGCCCCATAATAATGTCTTTTACAGCACTTTATTCCCCTGGGCAGGATGCGATCCAATATCCTGTGTTGTTTCTAGCTATCTCTTCTATTTAGTATTCTGGAATCTAAACCTTCAGCTTTTCTTGTCATACCATTGACACTGCATAAGAATACAGGCCAAAACAACAATGAGATCCACTACACACCTATTAGAGTGGCCAAAATTCAAAATACTGACAACACCAAATGCTGACAAGGATGTAGAACAACAGGAACTCTTCATTCGTTGCTGGTGGGAATACAAAATGGTGCAGCCACTTTGGAAGACAGTGTGGCAGTTTCCTACCAAACTAAACATACTCTGCCATACCATCCAGCAGTTACATTCATTGATATTTACTGAAATAAATTGAAAACTTGTGTCCACACAGAAACCTGCACACAAGTGTTTATAGCAGCCTTTTACATAATCGCCAAAACTTGGAAGGAAACAAGATGTCCTTCAATAGGCGAATGAATAAATAAACTGTGGTACATCCAGACGATGGAATATTACTCAGCACTAAAAATAAATGAGCTATCAAGCCGCAAAAAAGACATAGAGGAAACAAATACATTTTACTAACTAAAAGAAGCCAATATAAAAAGGCTATATACTGACTGTATGATTCCAACTATATGGCATTCTGGAAAAGGCAAAATTTTGAAGACAGTAAAAGAATCAGTGGCTGCCAGGTGTTGGGGGGAGAGAGGGATAAACAGGCACAGCACAGAGGATTTTTAGGGCAGTGAGACTATTCCGTGTGATACTATAATGGTGGATAAATGTCATTATACATTTGTCAAAACCCACAGAATGTGAAATACCAAGAGTGAGCCCTAATGTAAGCCATGGATTTTGGGTGATTATGATGTGTCAAAGTAGCCTCATTTGTTGTACTCAATATACCACTCTGGTATGGGACTCTGATAGCAGGGAGGCTGTGGGTATGTAGTGATGGGAGGTATGTGGAAAATCTCTGTACCTTTCACTCAGTCTTGCTGCAAACCTAAAACTGCTTTAAAAATGAAAATCTATTTTAAAAAAGAACACAGTCCAGTTATTTTATAAAAAGCCCTTCACTGGGGCTTCTCTGATGTTTCCTCATGATTAGATTCAGATTAAGCTCTTTGGACTAGAATACCATCCTTCTCAGCTGTCACAGGAGGAACACACTGTCTTACCTTATCACCTTATCAGTGACATTAATTTTGTCTACCTTGTTAAGGTAGTATCCATTTTCTCCACTTCATTTTTTTTTCTTTTGTAATTAATAAGTGTTTTGGCTATGATACAGCAGCACAGTTCCTAATAGCAGAAAGCAGAAATAACCTGTCTAAAAACAGAAGAGTGGATTTTTTTTTTTTTAGAGAGAGAGGATGTGTGCAGAGGAGAATATTTTACAGCAGAGGATAATGAAAGAATTACAGCTACACATAACAACACAGTTCAACCTTAAAAAGAAAAAAAGAATGATTCCACTTGTCTAAAAGTTTAAAAATATGCTAAAGTACACAAAATATTATTTAGGAATGCAAGTAATACAGTCTTATCTCATACAAACACGCAGGGTAAAACTGTAGTGAAAAAGGAGCCATAAACAAAAACTTTGGAGAGTGGTTTCCTGTAAGGCAGAAAGAAGGACATGGAATTGGAAGAGGGTCACAGGAGGGAGAGGGGATGCAAGTGAATATGGGAACATTCACTGCATCATTTTTTTATGCCATACATATATTTTAAAGATATTATTTTAGGGCTTCCCTGGGGGCGCAGTGGTTGAGAGTCTGCCTGCCGATGCAGGGGACACGGGTTCATGGTCCGGGAAGATCCCACATGCCTCAGAGCGGCTGGGCCCATGAGCCATGGCCGCTGAGCCTGTGCGTCCAGAGCCTGTGCTCCGCAACGGGAGAAGCCACAACAGTGAGAGGCCCGCGTACCAAAAAAAAAAAAAAGAGTTGGGGAGAGAGTGTGGGGCAGCAAAGGTTAACTGGAATTGCCTTTGAGGAGACAGTCGTGGGTGGGCAGGTGGAGGTGGAGGGAACAGTTGCTTCCCATGATAATTCAACACAATTTATAAATGGAAGTGAAACCAGACAATGTCTACAGTGGCTGACCCTTGCTTCCGGGGTCTGTTCAGCTTCACTAGAGCTGTGCCCAAGAGTGTCTCCTCCCTAAAGGAGCCAGCGTCCCCCAGGTGTCTTTAATGACAAATTCTCTTTCATGAATTTATTCATTCTTTCAATACACTGTTCAGCATCTACCTTATACCAGGTCCTGCCCTTGGCACTGGAATGCAAGCATGAATCAGACATATATCCTCGACTGAAAGGAACTTCCAGTCGAGTAGAGATAAGACATCTGTAGTTTTTTCATTTGTTCCATTAAACTATAGTGAACCTATAGGCACTGTATTAAATAAATATCACCTCTTTCCTAAGGGAACTCAAAGTCTGGAGAAGACATAAGTAAACCTTCAATTACCCACCACCAGAGCTGGAAAGAGTGCTGTGTGGGCCCCAAAGAGAGCTGGGTAACTGTCTTAGTGGGTTCAGGCTGCTATAACAAAATTACCATAGACTGGATAACTTATAAACAGAAATTTATCTGTCACAGTTCTGGAGGCTGAGAAGCCCAAGATCAAGGTGCTGGCAGATTTGTGTCTGGTGAGAACCCGCTCTCTGGTTCATGGATGGCCGTCTTCTCACTGGGTCCTCACAGGATAGAAGGGGCAAGAGAGTTTTCTGGGGTCTCTCTCTTCCTTTTTTCTTTGGCTGGGTAGCTTGCGAGATCTTAGTTTCCTGACCAGGGATTGAACCCAGGCCACGGCAGTGAAAACACCAAGTCCTAACCACTGGACCACCAGGGAATTCCCTGAAGTCTTTTTTTGGCCACGCATCATGAGGGATCTTAGTTCCCCAACCAGGAATCGTACCTGGGCCCCTGCAGTGGTAGAGCAGAGTCCTAACCACTGGACCGCCAGGGAAGTCCCAGGGGTCTCTTTTTTAAGGGCACTAATCCCATTCATGAAGGCCCTGTCCTCATGAACTAATCACTCCAAAGACCTCAAAGACCTCACCTCCAAACACCATCACTTTGGGGATTAGGTTTCAACATATGAATTTGGTGGGGGCTGGGGGTGGGACATAAACATTCAGTCTATAGCACTAATCTAGTCTGAGTCTGGGAAAGTTTCTTGCAAGAGGCCATTCTTTTTTTCTTTTTTTTAAATTTATTTATTTTTGGCTGTGTTGGGTCTTCACCGCTGCACGCAGGCTTTCTCTAGTTGAGGAGAGCACGGGCTACTCTTCCTTGCGGTGGCTTCTCTTGTTGCGGAGCAGGGGCTCTAGGCACGCGGGCTTCAGTAGTTGTAGCACACTGACTCAATAGTTGTGACTCTCAGGCTCTACAGCACAGGCTCTGTAGTTGTAGTGCACAGGCTTATTTGCTCTGCGGCATGTGGGATCTTCCCAGACCAGGGCTCGAACCCGTGTCCCCTGCATTGGCAGGTGGATTCTCAACCACCGCGCCACCAGGGAAGCCCCAAGAGGCCATTGTTGAACTCCTTTAAAGGGCCTGAAAAAATGGAATAGAAGTTTGCTGGGGGCAAAAATGAACAAAGGAAGAAGATTCTGGGCGAAGAAAACACTACAAAGGAGAAGAAAAGTGATGGGACTGGAGGCCAAATAACAGCATAGGAGACCCCTCAGTGTGATCTCCACAAGAAAAATGAGGGCCTGGGAATTCCCTGGCGGTCCAGTGGTTATGACTCCATGCTTCCACTGCTGGGGGCCTGGGTTCAATCCCTGGTCAGGGAACTAAGATCCCACAAGCTGTATGGCATGCCCCCTACAAAAAAATATAATTAATTAATTAATTAAATAAAATAAAGAAATATGAGGGCCTGAGTTAAGGCACAGACCATAAAGGGTCATAACACAGAGAAAGATAAATGTCATAAGTTAGATGTAGGTAGGGCGGTGTGGAAATTGTTAGAAGGAAAGAACTCCTTCAGCTAGTGCAAGCACTGATTACTTCATTACAAAAGAGGTATTAAATCTGGGACTTGAATTGGGAATGAGTTGTGACCTATGGTCCTAAAAGCAAAATCTAAGAGGACCTCCCCAAAACCCACGGTTAGAGAAAGTTCAAGAAATACGTACAGGCAACGGTAGGCTGCAGAGTAATTTCTTCATGTTCAACAAATAACTATCTTATCCTGGGCTAGAAAATAGAGGCTGAGGCAAGGACTAAGTGCTCATTCTTTATTTGGGAGGTAAACCCATGACAGTGGGAGAGAGAGGAGAGGCAAAGAGGGAAAGGAAGGGTGAGATGCAACACAAAGTAATGTGTTACCACACTGGCTACAGCTTCAGAGCAGCCTTGGCAGGTGGACCCGCTGGACTACGTGGAATGTCTCTGAACAGGCTATATACAGAGAAACCACTCCTTGAAATAGTTGATCCGAGGGAAGAAGGAGAGGCCATTTATTCACTGGCTCTTTTCCTCCTCTGATCTCTGTTGCACTATGGTTCTCTACGGGGGAGTGAACTTGCCTGCCCCTCTGGGTTGCACCACCCAGCCTCTGGCAGCCACATAGGAAGCATGGTGCTTTGTTCCAGTGAGTGCAGAGGTGTGTAGAGGAGCCAGAAACTCCAGATAGTCGGTTTGGGGCAGCAGATGTGCTGCCAGGGCAGCTGGGTGAAACAGGAAGACTAGAGCTCTGGAGACAGGTGACTAGGGAATCTGAGGCATCACACAAATAATGTTTGATATAGCAGTCAGAGAGGTTGTGATCAAATTACCACAGAAACTCTCTGACCCAGAAGCTGCAAACTTAAATCTCTCATGGGGCCTGCAGGCCATGTCAAGAGAGCAGTGGACCAGATGGAGATTGTTGCCAACTGGAAGAACCTACCTGCCTAAAGAATGTCCCAGTTTATATCTCTGATCTACTGTTACCCTGGTATGGCCAGACCTTCTGATCTTTGAAGAGAAACTGGAAATCCAGATTATGTAAATTCCCCTGATTAAATATTGACAATTCCATTGATTATATAAAATTTAAGACACCGATGGGCCAACATGGTGACTGTCAAAACAAATAGCCCTTTGGCCATATCTAGTTGTAACCTTCGATTGAGCTAGAAAACTACTGTGATTATTCAGAGACATGAACCACGGCTGAAGATGTGGATATAAAGACAGAGGGGGCTAAATCCAGGGGCCCAGATGAAGAAGAAACAACAGGCCTAGATCAAACATGAAGGGGAAAAAAACAACACTGCAAAGAAGCAGCTGGGAGACCCTAGGGAAGAAGATGCTTTTGCCAGATAGTGAAGGCAAAAGAAGATAGGAGACAGAGTGTTTAAAACAAAGTCATTTTTCCCCCCCACTAAGGCCGGCCTCACTTGGGGCATTTGTTTTTAGATCTCAGACTCCTGAAAGGGAGCTCGAGGACATGGTGACAAGGGCATCCTAGTGCTCATGACTATCAAGAGGGATGGGCCAGTCCTGGGACACAGCTGCTAACTTTTATTGGGATTGTGGGGAAACTGTTGCCAATGATTTCACAATTCTATCTTTTTATTGTTTCATAACCATACCCATCAGTTGGTTGCACAATTTAACCCCAGGATACAGGTCTTGGGACTTATTGTATCAGAAAACTCAAAGACTCGTGAGAAGCATGAGGAATTGCTGCACATCAGAATTGTCCACATCTGTTGGCAGTAGGCTTTATTATTTATTTTTTAAATAACTTTTTATTTTCATATAAGAATTGCTATATGTCCTTTACCTAATTCATCAATTGTTAACATTTTGCCTTATTTGCCCTTATTGCTCCATAATCATGTACATGTAATAATATGTATATTTTGTATAATGTATAATTATATATATAAACATATACATATGATCATTGGGGAGGAAGTTGCAGACATTATGCCCCTTTACCCCTAAAAGTTTCAGAGTGTATTACCTTTTTGTGTGTGTGTGATTTTTTTTAACAATTTTATTTATTTATTTATTTTTATTTTTGGCTGTGTTGGGTCTTAGTTGCTGCACGTGGTCTTTCTCTAGTTGCAGTGAGCAGGGGCTACTCTTCGTTGTGGTGCACAGGCTTCTCATTGCGGTGGCTTCTCATTGCGGTGGCTTCTCTTGTTGCAGAGCACAGGTTCTAGGCACGCAGGCTTCAGTAGTTGTGGCGCACGGGCTTAGTTGCTCCGCGACATGTGGGATCTTCCTGGACCAGGGATCGAACTCGTGTCCCCTGCATTGGCAGGCGGATTCTTAACCATTGCACCACCAGGGAAGTCCCAGAGTGTATTTCCTAAGAACATAACCACTGTATTGTTATCAAAGTTAGAAAATTTAATCTTGATACAATATTATTTTCTAATCCACAGTCTATATTCAACTTTTGTTAATTGTCCCAATAATGTCTCTTGTAGCAACTTTTTTTCCTGGTTTACAATCCAATCTGGGATCATGCACTGCATTTACTTGTCAGTTCTTTTTAGTGGAGGCCTTGTTTTCTCCTTGCTTTTAACATCTATCATTTAGTATTCCTAAAACCTATTGCAAATTACAATCATTTTAATAGAACTTTAAAAATATTAGAAATATAAAGTTAGCTAAATTTTTACACTGAAATACAGATCATAACTGACACTGGGGGACTTACCTGGCGGTCCAGTGGTTAAGACTCTGAGCTTCCAGTGCAGAAGGCTCAGGTTCGTTCCGTGGTCAGGAAACTAAGATCCCACATGCCAAGCGGTGCAGGCCAGAAAAATAAAAAAAAGAAAGAAAAGAAAAGAACTGACACTGGAACCTGAGGAAAGCTCTGTAGGACCACAATACAAAACAGTTCATTCAAAGGGAGATTGATTCTTGTTCTAAAACTTTATTTATTTATTTTTAATTTTTGTTTGAGTATAGTTGATGTACAATGTTCTGTTAGTTTCTGCTGTACAGCAAAGTGAATTAGTTATACATACACATATATCCACTCTTTTTTTAGATTCTATTCCCATATAGGTAATAACAGTATTGAGTAGAGCTCCCTGTGCTATCCAGTAGGTCCTTATTAGTTATCTATTTTATATATAGTAGTGTGCATATGTCAATCCCAATCTCCCAATTTATCCTAACTTGTGCAAAGCCCTGTTAGGATAGAGAAACAAAGTTTTTACCTGTTATTGGGTCGCATATGTCTCTTCCCTTCATTGTTCTTAGGCTACTGATGAGGCCTCTGTGCTTCTCAAGCTTCCTTTGGTGAAGGATCACTTTTGTTTCTGTGATTATCAGTGCTCTTTCCCATCCTTCAAGGACTGATCTGGTTGTACAAATCTATAACAATAAATTACTAGAAAAAAGAAATAAAAATAGACATAAAATTCACATCTAATTTTTTCATTATTAGATGCAACAGACAAGCTTTCTCAAATTGCTGTAAGTTTCCAAATACCTACTCTGAATTTCTGTACTTACCTTATGTCACTGGTCCTCGGACCACACTTAGAGTAGCACTGGTCTATATCAGAGCATGCCCCATATATAGTTGTGTGTGTGGACATCTTTCTACTGGAAATGATTCCCTATGGGGTGATAGCCTTCTCAAGATCACTTCATATTCCCCACAACCTGGAGCAGGAGGCTTACACACCAGCACACACTCTATATGCACACTTGGACAGGAACTATAAGTAAAGTAGGCACAGAAGCATGGCCTTGTAAAAGTAATTCAGGCTCTAATAAACTATAGTGGAAAAGAATATGAAAAAGAATATATTTTGCTGTACACCAGAAACTAACACAACATTATAAATCAACTATAGTTCAATTAAAAAATAAAAATAAAAAATAATTCGGGCTCTAAAATCAGGCAATGAGGGACTTCCCTGGCTGTCCAGTGGTTAAGACTCCGTGCTCCCAGTGCAGGGGGCTCAGGTTTGATCCCTGGTCGGGGAACTAAGATCCCGCAGGCTGCATGGCAAGGCCAAAAAAAACCAGAAAGCAACACAAAACAAAAAAAGGACTAAATGGCGAATACCCTTGTAACCACCCTCTAGTTCAAGAAACAAAACTTTGTTGCCCTTCCATGGGGCCCCTCCCAATCTCAAGCCCTCACCCCCAAAAGTAACCACTATTCTTGACTTTTATAATCATCGCTCACAGTGTTAAAAACCAGACTAAGTTTTAAAAAGATGCACAAGTTGTAAAAAACAGTGCTAAAGAAAAGAATTATTCTGACACCTGATAAAATGGTAAGGAAGATTTCCTTCAAGACTTTTTTGTAATAAGGGTCAACTCTACTGCCATAGGTGGGGAGGGATGGGTCTCAATTCTAAGTACAGCAAAGATAGCTGGGGATTTACAGCCAGCAGAGAGAAGGGCTTGTTGGTGAAAAATTGTAAGAGGAGATCTCAAGGGATTCTTGCTAAGGGGAGGTCAAGGACTTAGATGTCAAAGGGAGGTGGGGTGGGGATGAGGACCTTGATCAGATAACAAGAATTGGGGGATTGCTCCTAAACTGACTTAGCAGGATTCTTTGCTAAGACTGGACAATGCAGGGCAGGCAAGGACAGGACAGGCACAGAAGGCCAAGGTCCAGGTCTAGAAAAGTTTAAAAGAGTCTCTAGTCAGAGAAGCCTAATTAAAGTTTAGTCTAGGAGTCTGTCAATAGACCGCGTAATTTAACCGTACATTTGTTTTTTTGTTTTGTTTTTGGCTGCGCCCTGAGACTTGTGGGACCTTAGTTCCCCCACCAGGGATCAAACCCAGGCCACCGCAGTGAAAGCGCCGAGTCCTAACCACTGGACCACCAGGGAACCCCCTAACCCTACATTTTTATTTTTCAAAACTAAGTTAACAATATAAAAGTCGAAAATATTTAAAATGAGTGAATTTTGTGGAATGTTAATTATAACTCAATAAAGCTGGAAAAATACATGTATTTGAAATCGATTTCCCTAAAGGCTCCTTCCTCTGAGAAAGGGGGGATTTTCAGAGAGTTCGGGGAACTAGGTAGGAAAGACAACTTCAGACTCATATCTACTGGTTAACCAGCGGTCCTGGACACATTAACTCACACAGTAGAGACTTCGTTTTCACGAGTGGAAAACTTGGATAAAACTTGTATTTTATGCCCAGTTGATAGATCTGCGGTATCGCAGGGATGTTGAGAGGCTCAAGGGCAAAACTGAAAGATGGGAGGTGTTGCTACTCTTGTCTCTCAAAACCCAACGATGAAATAAAAATTCCGCAGCCCCTGGTGCTTTGAGGCTTGGCATTCGGAAAGATTTCGCCACAGTTGAAACACACCTCTAAATGTATCAATAACCTGGAACAGTGGTTCTCAAACTTAAGCGTGCATCGGAACTACCTGGAGGGTTTGTAAAAATACAGATTTCTGGATCCCACCCCTAGAATTTCTTGGACGAGGACCTGCTATTTCCATTTCTAACACGTACCAGATACAGGATTGGTCTAGGGAACCACACTTTACAGGCCCCTGGTTTAGTCTTCCGGACAGCCCCGTGGGCAGGGCTGGGAGTCCATCTAGTCCACTTAGGTTTATCTGGCCTCAACTTCCCTCTGCTGTCCTGTCAAGGGAGCCAGGGAGCAAGGAGACCCCTGTTAAAGTCCAACCTCGAGGCGCGTTATCAAGCTGCTGACAGCCAGGCCTCCTGAGGGCCTTTGCAAAAGGCCCCTCCCTCCGGCGGAGGCCTGCCAGTGCCAGATAACACCATCCTGCTGTCACGCGGCGGCGCTTGGCCCCAGGCTCCCGCCTCCCTGGGTTCCTGGCTCGGCGGCCGCTGGGCGGGACGCGGGGCGGAGCCGGCGCGGGGCGGTGCCAGGCCGCGGGTCCTCAGTCAAGTGACACCCGGCGGCTGACTGGGCGCTGACAGTGGAGCCAGGAAGCCGGAGGGTGGATATGCCGGGGGTCGTTCGCATCCTCTCCCTGCTGGTGGTGCCGCTGCTGCTGGGCTCTGCGCGTGGCTTGCACGTAAGTCCACAGGACCCCCGCGCAGGAATGATGGATAGGGGACAGGCTGGCGGGGGACCGGGCTGATGCTGCGGCCACCTGGGGTCCCAAAGGGCGGAGGTCCTGGGACCCCAAGGCGCGCCCGGGCCCGCAGGGCAACGGGGGGAGCTCAGGCAGTGGGCTGAGCCGGCAGAGGGCCGGCCGGGCGGGGCGAGCTTCCTTACCGGTAGCTCTGTCGCTCGTGTGTTCCGCCCCTGCCGCCTCTTTTCGCTGGGGCCTACTTCCTTATTGGTGCAATGAGGGGCTGAGATGAGGTGCTTTCCATCTTTGCGGGTTTCCGGGAGGGGGATTCCAAGTAGCGCGCGTTCTTGGAGGGCGCCTTGGGCTCTGTCTGGCTTGGCGCGCCCTCCCTTGCCAGCGCTCTGCGGAGCGCTCCGGAAGGAGAAAAATGGGGTCAAGAGAGGCCCCCGCAATGGGAACATTGGATTAATTACCTTCGAGGTGGTCTCTTTTCGGACATCTCGTGCCCTTCTCGGCCCTTCTCGCCGCCTACTTTTTAAGGCTTGGATTTTCCAAACCTTCAGGGTTTGGCGGTGGGCAAGAGGCAGGCTGCAGGTAGCCGCCAGCGTTGCTGGAGGGAGGTCTGGCGGGACGAGGTGCTGGGCGGTGCGGAGCGTGCACGATTGCGGGAGAACTACAGCCTCAGTCCACCCGGCAGAGCTAAGGCAGGAGCCGAGGGAACTCCGAATCGCTCCTGGGAAGGTCAGCATCACGGCCTTGGAAAGGTGGGGTGGATCTGAGGGGAGAGGGACCGGGGGATTTAAACGGGCGCCTGTCTCTCTGCACGTTCAGGGAACCAACTTTCTTTCTCCAGAGTTCGGGTGGGCTGAGTCTGGGACTTGTTTTATAAGTGGAAAATGGTGAACTTTGACTTGCAAATTACACCTTTGATAAAAGGCTTTCAGTAAAGTGCGTAGGGCAGGGGGAAAAAAAGTATATATATATATATATATTTTTTAATTTATCTATCTTAAACCGAGGTTGAGAATCTTATTTGGAAAACAACTGCTGAAAATATTTTCATTTTGGATTCTTCTTGGGAAAAGGTCACCTCAAATGACTATTTGCTAACCTTTGTCTACCTGGGTCTGTGCTTCCCCTGCCCCAGTTTTTTGTCTGGGAGCCCTGGAGTGGGAACTAGCCAGCTATGAGAGCCACAAGAGAACAGTTCAAGGATTCAGTGGCAGAGAAAGATGGGGAGATGGCAGATCTTAACCGATATCTAGGAGGGTTGTGAGACGGAAGGGATAAGGATTTATGGAGGAGGAGCTGGGGGACAGGGCAGCCTGCCATGTCGTGGTTGCTCATTATCCTTGTGCAGCATCATTCACAGGGGCTGCCCTGTGACTGCCAGGAGGCCGTCTTCACCCCAGGAATCCTTATGTTACGTGTCTAGGTGTCCCTCCTGGGCCTAGAGCTGAAAAAGATACCAGACAACCAGCTTTCCATGATTTCCTTCTTTACATTTATTTACAACAGCGGTTCTCAAACATTAACTGTCCTAGAAGTTAAAAGCGAACATTTAAAAATATTTATTAACTTAAGAAATCGTAAAATCGTTATATGTTAATAAACTTTATATATTTCTTGAAAAATAATAATTTCTTCCCAAATTGTAGGGCGAAGAGCGACATTGTACATTTTTGCAAATCTCTTTCATGTCTGTCTTAATAGATGATAGTTGGATTCTCATAGCTACTTCTGCATTCATTCTCGCTATATCACATGTCATGTAGCCTCTGGAAAACTTCACTGTACACTCATGAGAGAATGGTTATGGCTTAGTACTGTTTTTTTGGTTTTTTTTTTTGCGGTACCCGGGCCTCTCACTGCCGTGGCCTCTCCCGCTGCGGAGCACAGGCTCTGGATGCGCAGGCTCAGCGGCCATGGCTCACGGGCCCAGCCGCTCCGCGGCATGTGGGATCCTCCCGGACTGGGGCTCGAACCCGCATCCCCTGCATCGGCAGGCAGACTCCCAACCACTGCGCCACCAGGGAAGCCCCTTAGTACTGTTTTTGAAAATAGTTTTGACTTAATGGACCCCCCGAAAGGGTCTCCCTGGACCACACTTTGAGAACCGCTGGTTTAGAATAATGTTTTTGTTCTTATAAAAGTTCATACACATTATGGAAATACCTGAAACATACAGAAAACGGTAAGAAAATGAAACTGCCCATCCTGTTATAATCCAGCGTGTTTGTATTTCAATAATAAAATGTAGCAACTGACTGGTATTTGAGTGGCTTGGATTCAGGATGGGTTGGGCAGGTGTAAGTGGCCTTCAGGTTTTGACTGGGGACAAGGAAGCTCTCATATCCCACAAAGCTGACGCCGGTTCCTGGTTGCAGGCGGAGCTGACCTGGAAACCTGTCCTTGGCCACTGTCCTATCTAAGGAGCTCACCTTCCAGAGCCCGCCTGCACAGAACTGGCAGGGGACCCTCTTAGGAGCAGAGGTGATGGCGATCTTCAGGCAGCTGTCCCTGGGCGCAAAGGCCGCCCTGGCAGCCGGCACTGTCTTCGTGTCCATGGTCATCTCCCGCTCCTACCTGGCGGAGAGCCTCGAGCTCAGGGCCTGGCGGTGGCTGTTCCGCCTGCAGCTCGCCCTGTTTGCCAACTCGCTCATGCTCCTCGGTTCCCTCTACATCTGGCGAAGCACCGTCAGCAACCTCAGCCACTCCCCTGCTGCAGAATCGGCCTGTTTCCAGCTTTGGAAGTTGGCCGTTGTGGCCTTCCTGGCCCTGGCCCATTCCAGTTTCTTCACCATGATCTTTCTAGTAGCCGAGGAGCCCTATCTCTTTTCCCTGACGGCCTACTCCTGCCTCGGGGCATACATCATCATGGTCTGCTTCCTCTGTACCCTCAGTGGCATGGAGCAGGCCTACCAGCTCCTGGCCTTGCGCGCCGGCAGGGTGGTGGGCAGCCTTGACAAGACAAGGAAGCTGGCACTCAGGCCAGCGCTGGCGGTGCTGGTGTCCGCCGTGCTCAGTGTGGTAGGGCTGCTGAACGCTGCCCAGCCCCCGGCTGTGAAAACCGTGGAGGTGCCCATCCATTGGCTGCCCGCCTCCATGGACAACCTCAAGATCGCGCTGCTCTCCGACATCCACTTGGGCCCCACGGTGGGCAGGACCAAGATGGAGATGTTCGTGAAGATGGTGAACACGCTGGAACCGGATGTCACAGTGATTGTGGGTGACCTGTGCGATGCCGAAGCCTCTGTCCTCCGGACAGCCGTCGCTCCTCTGGGCCAGCTTCGTTCACGCCTCGGCACCTACTTCGTCACGGGGAATCATGAGTACTACACATCAGATGTCAGCAACTGGTTTGCGCTGCTGGAATCCCTGAACGTCACGCCCCTTCACAATCAGAACGTGAAGATTTCTGCCACCCGGGCCCAGCCTGGCGGGGGTGAGGATGATGACTGGATCTGCTTGGCCGGGGTGGACGACATCGAAGCAGACATCCTGCACTACTCTGGCCACGGCATGGATCTCGAGAAGGCTCTGGGGGGCTGCAGCCCGGACCACACCACCATCTTGCTAGCTCATCAGCCCCTGGCTGCCAAGAGAGCTCTCCAGGCTCGGCCAGATATCAACTTGATCCTTTCTGGGCACACTCACGCTGGGCAGATCTTTCCCTTGAATGTGGCAGCCTATCTCCTGAACCCCTTCTTTGCTGGTCTGTACCAAGTGGCCCAGACTACATTTGTTTATGTGAGCCCAGGCACGGCCTACTATGGGATACCCATGCGACTGGGCAGCAGGGCGGAGATTACAGAGCTCGTCCTGCAGCGGGTTCCCTGAACCCAACCCTGCCCCGTGCACCTCCTCATTGCCCTTGCCCTCCGTCCCCGACCCTCTGCAGACCAGGCTGCCTGCTTTATCCCCTCCAGCCTCTCCTGCCAGCACACACTTGTCACAAGACTGGCTTGCACCGTGATCAGTGGTGGGCTGCCTGTTAACTCTGTAGGTGGCCATCTGCTTCTTTCTGTGCATTTGTGAGGCCACTAAAGTCACATGTGTAGGAACAGGCATCTATTTTCCAGATGATGTGGAGTAAGCCCTCCTCCTCTGCAGAACTCATGGGGATGAACTGAATCAGGGGGTTGCTTGAAGGGGATGCCTGTGGAAAGTGGAGTAGGGAGGGGACTCTTGGTATTTTAAAAGCCTCTTTAGGACTTAAGCAGTTTTCAAAATCATTGATCCAGAGCTTTCTGGGGAAGGGGCAGTGTGGCTAGGTAATCTGGGAGAACTGGCGAGATGGAGGTCCCTCTGGCTGCTGGAGAAGAAGCTTTTCTTTTCCCCCTTGGTTCTATCAGAGTCACCTTTACTGAGAGCATCAGCCAAGTCGGGTGGAATATAGGCTCATCCTGTTCCGGGCCTTGAGTGATGCTGTCTAATTGACTGTGCTCCTGGGCCTTTGGGGTTGGGGGTGGGGCAGAAGGATGGGAACACTGGTCCGTGAATGAAGGTCAGAGTGCTGCTGCCTAGGAATTCAGAGGGTGTTTGCCAAACTTGGCTCCTTTTATACAACACCTGGATGAGGTGATTAGGGACAGGCAACTTTCCCCAACTGAGAGATGAGGGAACCGAGGCAAAGGGAGGTAGAACACTAGCGGCAGCACAAGGGTTATGGGAGATTCTGGCTGGAAGCCAGGTTTTCTGCTTCCCAAGACCAGTGTTCTTCCCACTGCCTGATGGTAAGTAGCTGTACCCTTACAGGTGAGGACAGGGTTCAAACACAAGTAACATTGTAACGAGAACAAGCAAGGGCCTATAACCTGATGCCCTTTCGAAGTGGTCTGCTTGAGGCCGATTTCAGTTCATGGTAACTACGTGAGCAGGACCTGGAAGGGGGTCGGGCAGTTTCAGTGTAGGATGGCTGTTACACTGGAGGGACAGTCAGGAAACTGGAGTGCACACCCTCCACTCCAGGTTTGGGTCAGAAACGGAGGTTCGCTCTCTACCGGTAGGGAGGTTGAGGCTTGCATGGGGAGTGGCAGGGCACTGAGCTCTCGCGGGCCCCAAAGCCCTCCCTTCGTGGGACCCCTGGCTCTGGGATGCTGGGCTGTCCTTCCTGCTGGTGGCTCACTGCCCCCTTCCCCCCCACCAGCCTGACCCCATCAGAGCTGTCCTAGCGCTCTGGCCACAGAACCAGACGGCCATCCCTAAGCTGGACCCTCAGAAAAAGAGGCAGGGGTTACCGTGTCTGGAGCAGCCCCAGCCTCGCTGGCCGGCCTCTGTGCCAGAGGTAGGATACCCTTTGACCCTGGGGTAGCAATAAGACCTGATAGACAAGGCCTCACTGAGAATCTTTCCGCGACAGGGAACTCTGACTGGAGGGGCTCACCCTCCTGCTTTCTTGTCAGGCAGCATCGGGCAAATGACCTCACTGAGCCTCGGTTTCCCTCACCCTGAAAT